TCGCCTGGCCACCCAGCGTGGCGCGGGAGGGCCTGGCCGGCAGCGAGTGAGGCGGCTGCCGAGAGCGGTGCTTGGAAAGGGAGCGTGGCGAGCCGTTAGCACTGACACGGGAACTGTGCACGTCTCCTGGCTGTCGGGAAGGCACACTGAGGTCAGTTATGTGTCTGTGTCCTGACGCTAAGCAGTGGTGCCCTAGTAGAAAGTAGAGTGTTTGTAGTAGCAACACAAATCTTAGGACACGGAGAGCGACGTGTGACGCAACCACGCGAGCGCGTTAGGGAGAGAATGGCGGCGGGTGGAGGGCCTGCCGCGCGGCAGCGCCTTCCGTCCGTGGTGAGCAGCCTCAGTGCCACTGATGGGCCATGATGTTCTCGGGTAATCTGTAAGTGCCACGTAGTCGTAATCAAAGCTGAACAGGTATTTTATAGAAGGCGACGAGGAATACGACAAAGACGTGGCGTCGCGGTAGGCGGAGAAGAGCAAACGAAATCGTGCGGGGAGTCGCGCCCTGTGACACGCTGCTCCCCGGGCGCGTGACAGCCCCAGCGTCCCCACCGACCTGCCCCGCCCAGCGGTCAGTCTCCCGCCTGACCCGCTCGCCGAGACCCCGACGCCCTTTGTGTCTGCCCGCACCCTGTCTCCACACCCCGTTCCGGCGGGTCCCAGCCTGCCTCGGGCCACTGCGGCCTGCTCTCAGCAGAGGCCCAGGGGGCCCGGGGAGGCCCCAGCGCACGTCCCCTGTCTCCCACTGGGCCTCCCCACATGAGTCTGATCGCTCGGCTCGCTGAGAAGCCCTGAGCATGGGGGCGCCTGCCCCTCCCCGCAGTGCCTCTGAGCCCTGAAGAGTCCCTGCACCCCGGTCTCTGAACCGCCACCTCCTCACTGCCTTCAAGCCTTTGTTTGGGGTTGCCGTCTCTTTGAGCTCCCTGCTGCACCCCTCCCAAAACTCTGGGTCTCTTTGACCCCCATTTTTCTTTTCTGTAGTAACTCTTTCGCCTTTGAGCTTGCTCTACCATCTGCCTATTGCTCGTTTACCAACACAGCGTCCTTTCACTGCTGGGGTGTAAGCACGTCCGAGGGGGTCTGCTCTTCGGCCTGTTCCCTGTGTACCCCAAGCCCCTGGCGTGCATCCTGGCACCTAGCAGGGACTCAGTGAATACTTGTTGGTAAATGAATGAAAAACAGGATATTTCGTGTGCAGGGACAGACGAAGGAATGGAATGCAGCGAGGATGGATTATTTGGCAAATAAGCATTTATTTTGGATCCATGCTTAACCCATACAGAAAAAAATTTGAATTCCGACCTCATGCAAAAAATTATTTCAGGACAGAGTCACAATGTTAAATGAAGACCAAACCTAACGGTTCTTAGAATACACGATGTCAATCTTTACAACCTTGATGTAGGGAGGGCGTTCTCAGGCCAGATACACAGAGAGCACATCACAGAGGAGGTGGAGAAGGTTAGCCACCATGAAAAGTCAAGCATCGTGTGGGTGGGTGTCGGTCAAAGGCATCGGACACGCTTCTTTTCACAAGAGGAGCGAGTTTTGGGCGATGGTCCTCAGAGTGGTGAGTACAGCTAATAAAATTGTAGCGTGTGCTCAAAATCGGCTGCAAGGGTGTCTCCAATGTTCTTACCAGGGAAAGGAAACGGTGCGTATGTGGGGCGATGAGACTGCTCAGAAACCTCACTGTGGCAAGACTTCCGCCGCAGGTACACGTGTCAAACTGTCACGTTGCACACCTTAAGTTCTCACAAGATGATGCCAATAATATTTTGATAGTGCTAAAAAAATAAGTCAAAAAAAAGAATACACTGCTTGCTAGCTGTGATTTTGCCAGGCTGGAATCTGATTATACGGAAGCCTCTGCATGGAGCTGCAAACTTGCCTCAAGTGTTGAAGCTAGGGGAGGAAGGCGGATGTGCCACAGACCGCAGCTGACACACTCAGATTATGGGGAGTCACCGGTCACGAGACTCATGTCCGTCAGTGAATAGCTGGAAGGGGGGGGCCTGTTCAAGGACATCGAGTCTGAAACGATGAGCGCGACCGAGCTATAGTGTCAGGACAGATGCTTGAGTCATGAAAATATAAGAAAACAGACGATTATTTGAAAAGTCAGACAGTGGTTACTTTGGGGACACAAAAGGGGTCGTGGCTGTGCGTGAAATGGGGGTTTCTGGGGTATATGGCAGCGCTCCCGTCTTGCCCCAGGTGGCGGGTCCGGGTGTCGTCACCCCCGTAAGGATGCCCTGAGGACGCGTTTGCCCCGCGACTTTCCTGTGTCTGTGGCGATCTGCTGGTAGAGGGCTCAAGGACGGCAGCGTAGGCTGAGTCGTGGCGGTGCTCGCGCTGGGGGCCGGGCTCGTGTACGTTCTGAGGATTTCTGCACGGACACGTCTCTGGGCACACCCACACGTGTGCACGCCCCGCACACTCACAACCCCACGCTGCCAGCCGTGAGGTCAAGCAGCCGGTTGCTGCGGGAGAGTCTCGTTCTTACCGAAGCCCAGCGCATCTGCAGAACTTTGGCTAGCTGGCCCTGTGCGGGCCCGGGGCCTTTCCGGGGGCGCCAGGCCGCCCCTCTGCCGCGGGGCTTCTCTGGGTCTCTGGCACACATGTGAAGGGAGTCACGTCTCCCCGCTTCAGCAGAGGGTTTGCTTGCGTTAGCCAAGATCAGCTTAATATTTGAAAATCTTACCTTGGGGATAGGTGGTCTGAAGCGTGGGGCCCTGTGGGCGGCAGCCTGGACAGAGGCGAGGCGGACAGCTGCAGAGGGCCGGCGCCGGCTGCTGGCCATGTGCCGCACAGAAACGTGTCACTCGGCGCCACTCGACTGCCAGCCCCCAGCGCCGGGCGCCCCCAGCTGGGGCTGGGCAGCTGGGGGCCTGCGCGGCTGTTTCCGGTCAGCGGAGCCACCAGCTCGCTTTTCACCCATCCGAGTCCAGTGCTTCCATCGTCGATCGGCGGTGGGCAGTCCTGTGGGAGCTGGCGAGGCCTTCGGGGTGCGTCGGTGAGGGTGCCTCTGGCCGGTTCTGTCTCGTGGAGAACTCTGACCACCAAGGTCCCTACGTCGCAGGAATGCAGGGACATTAGATTACCGGTCTTTATTCCAGAGACTAGAGGAGACTCTGGTCTCTCCGTATTTGTTTTATTAAACTGCAGCAAGCAAGTACACGGAGTGGTAGGACTGTATCTAGCAGAACGTAGCTCGAGGATTGTGTCGGTTTCTGCTTTTCTTTAGCAATCTTTGCTTTGCTCTAACCACGTATATGTGTTTCTTATGTTGTAAAGATGTGACTACTACAGACAAAATTGGACAAAAGTATTCCAGTGTTTTCCGCACTGCAGAGCGATCGTGGTTGTGACTTTGTACGTTTCCTTCTAGTCTACTTTGGCACGGCTGTTTTTCGTGTTGTAAAATACTTGCATGTGATGGTGTCTGTCCCCTTTACGCTTACGCGCAAGTCACCGTGGTGTCGTTCTAGGTGTGTGTCAGCTGCGCTGTCACCACACCTGATGCTTACTGTTGAGTTTCCCTATTTGGCACTGCACTTTTTCGAGCTGTCAGCCTGTTTTGGAGGGGTGTCGTTCCCCGCACCTCTGAGCAATAGCGTATAACACCTTTTGGCTACCATTGCTCAGAATTTTTCCAGTGCAGTATTAGTGTCAAGAATTCCAGGGAAACTTCCAGGCACCATCCAGCACCATCATCCACTGTGACCACCTGTGGCTGTGGAAGGTGGAGGCCGCTGTTGCCTTGCTGACTGTTGTTCTGTCCGAGGTCCACGGCACGTGGCTTTGTGCAACTCGAGAGTGGCGGTCATCCTGTTCATGTGCAGGAACTGGCCACAGAACAGACTCTTGGTAGAAACCAGGACCCCTGCCGGGCGGGTGACGTGGCCTTCTCAGTGTGCAGGTGCCTGGGTTCTTGGGGCTTCTTTTCCACCTGCCATCGAAGAAGCCCTGTCGCTGCTGAGAGGCGCCGTGGTGGGACCTGATGGAGGAAACGTTGCTGATGTCCCTGAGTGCCGGTGACCTCCCCACCCCTCCCTGAGTGCTGGTGACCCCCCGCCCCTCCCTGAGTGCCGGTGACCCCCCGCCCCTGTCTGAGTGCCAGTGACTCCCCCGTCCCTGAGTGCCAGTGACCACCCCCCCCCCGCCATCTTCCTCTCCCTCATCTTCCTTTTCGCGGAACTCACCAAGGTGCTGTTGAGTGGGCAGGCATTCAGCACATCAAAGCTTATAATGACTTCACATTTTTTTTTTTTAAGATTTATTTATTTGTGCATACAGAACTGGGGTACAGGCCAGAGGCTCAGGGGTGGTGAGAGGCTTCACCAGAGACAGAGTGGGGAGCAGAACAGGCAGATCTATGAAGTGCACTGCTGAGGGGAGCAGCGGGCGGGTCAGGAGAGGTCTGCCGCGCCCTGTGGTCACCCCCCATGCTGGGGATAGAACTCGTGCTGCAGTGGTTTCGGTTTAGATTCTCAGTGCTGTGCTTTGACCCGCTGCGCCCCCAGGGAGGGCCATGACTTCACATTTTAAAAGAACTGAACCCTTGTGAAATTGTTCGTTGAATACTGCAACCATCTCTGCTGTGTTTTCCATGTCATGAACTTAGTAGACACTTACTTTCTTCAAAAAAGCCGAAAGCAAGACCGCGAAGCTGCTCACGAAGGGACCGCTGCCCGCGCGCAGTGGGTCTGTCGCTGCGCCGTGGGCTCCGCTGGCCGTGGCCCCACCCGCGGGCCATTCCCGGGCGTTGGGGGGGCGGGGCCTTCCCGGTGCCTGGAAAACTTGCGGTGTCTGCGGTTTCTCGCGGCGGGAGCAGAGAGGTGCTGTGCAGATGACCTTACAGTTATTTCATTCCTCCTTCCCTCGGAAAATAGAAAATCGTGGCTTGGACATGACGGCGCCAGCGTGGGCTCCCGCCTCGCAGCCGCCGAGCGTCGTTTCCAAGAAGCACTGACCAGTGTTTTTGTTTCTCCCAGGAATGGGCTGCTTCTGGGGAGCCGAGAGGAAATTCTGGACCCTGAAAGGAGTATATTCCACTCAAGTTGGTTTTGCTGGAGGCTGCACTGCCAACCCTACTTACAGAGAGGTGTGCTCAGGTAGGAAGCTGTGGGCGGAACCGCTGGGCAGACCTCACGGACACGTCCCGCTGCCGGGGGCCGGGATCTTTGGAACGAAATAGAACTTTCTGTGTCCCCTGGCTTCTCTTTTTCATTTCCATCATATATTTGTTGGTTGAATTTTTAGGAGATAATAAGCCCCCTAGGGGGGTGTCTTTGAGCTTTTGCTTCAGAACATTCACCCCTACATTTGATCACTAAGAAAGTTGTTTGCGAGCTTATGGGTCTGTAGACCAGCGACTTAGGCCGGCTCATCGCAGCGGCTCTTTTGCTGGTCTAGTTAGGCTCGGAGAGTCCAGACAGCTAGGAGCCAGATGCTCTAGAATGGCTTGACTCTGCAGGGCAGGTGACTCTCGGGTGAGCTTGCAGTTGGCCGGGGTGCTGGGGACGACGGACCGCCTGTCTTCAGCGGACTGGCTGAGGTTAGGCTACCCGATGGCGGAGGCAGAGACCCCAGGAACATCAGGCCAAGACCCTCTCTGCTCCTGCTCCCTAGACCCTGCGTCTTACTGCCATCCTCCCGGCCACGCCAGCCAGCGGGACTAGCCCGGTGCCCACGTGGAGGGACTCTCCAATGCCAGACGTTGGGGAGGTGGGAGGAAACTGGGCCCATTCCTGTGACAGTCGCCCACGGGGAAAACGTGTCTTGTATCAAACTGTTTTCTTGAGAGGAACACAGTCAGACCTGGGCTATCGTGGAGGAACTGGAACTCTGTGGTGCCACGCTAAATCCTACCCACTGCCTGCTTATCTCAGGGTAATTTTATTCAAGCACAGCCATGCCCGTCAGTGTACGTATTCCAGCGAATTCTCTCGTGCTGCAGTGGTCCAGTCCACCGGTCATAGGAGACTGTCGGGCCTGCGAAACCTGACACCTACCCTCTGGCCCTTCACAGAGAGGGTTTGCCTGGACCTTGGCCTGGGTTCCCAGGATGGGCGATACCCTTGCTCCCAGCGCGAACGCTAGCTTCAACATGAGACGCCCTTTCTGCGCGTGTTTTTTTGTTCCTGGCTTCAAGGATTTCCTGAGCTTTGCTACCAGCTAGGGCAGCATTTAAGCACATGTTTTTCTTAAACTTTAAAAACTTCTACAAATGAAAAAGAATTTAAATTTAAGGTATTATATGGTGCTTGGTTCCCACGGTCAGGCTAATTAACTCACCTAGCTGGTTGGCACTTCTTTTTTTCTGGGTGGGATCAAACCTGCATCAGCTGCGGGCGCCACGGTGCCGTTCGACTGTGAGCGCTGGTTTCTGAGGCCTCCCCGCCCCCCACCCGACTCACCGCTACTCCCTGCTTCGTCGAGCCTGAGTTTTTCAGGTCGTACGTGTACGTGAGCTCAGTCGTTTCTTTGTTTAGTGTCACTAGTATAATGTCCTCCGGTCTCGGCTCGAGCTGTGAACGCGAGCCTTCTTCTGCTCCGAAGCCGAGTGGCCGTCAGTCCCGCCCAGCAGCCTCCTCCCCGCCGTCCACGAGGCCGCTCAGCCCTGGCTGGCTGCTGGCATGGCGCGGCGGGGCCTGGGCGCTGAGCTTCCTTGCCTGCATATCCAGGGGAGCGCTGCTGGATCGTGCATAGCTCCATTTTTAAATTTTTGAGGAACATCCAAACTGGAAAACACATTTTAAAAAGAGTATTTTATTCACCATCTTAAGAACGCTTAAGAGAGTCTATCTAGCTATGTAGTCGACGACTGGAGTTTTTAAAATACCGGAGCAGTTTTCTCTCTTTAAGGAACGATCTGGATGGGTGTTGGGCCGGGAAGTCGCCGAGGGCAGGGTCGTGGCGGGGCTGCCGGGCCCCTGCTGGCACCCTGAGGGGCGCCCATGTCTCGCTGCAGTGCAGATTCTGACTCCGCAGTGAAATCGGAGCTATGCAGCAAGGAAAATGTCATCAAAAGAGGTACATTCTTGTTTTTCTCACCTCTGGAGAAGAGTTGGAATATTCTGACCATATGGACTAGAGAACCTTTAATGGTTAATCCAGTTTTCTGTTGCTTCTGTTTCAAAAACAAGCCAATGCTGTGCAGCGCTCTAAACAGAGTCGCACGCACCCTCGACCTTGCCAGGTGCATGCACCCTCCCAAGCCTCAGGGACAGAGAGGAGTAGACGCCTTCCTCGAACTGCAGATGGCGCTTACTAGCTTTAGAGAAAAGGTTGCCAGGAGCCCCCGACGCCCACTGCCAGGAACCCCTGACGCCCAGTGCCAGGAGCCCCCGACTCCCACTGCCAGGAGCGCCCCCATGCCCACTGCCAGGAACCCCCAGTGCCCACTGCCAGGAAACCCCCATGCCCACTGCCAGGAACCCCCCATGCCCACTGCCAGGAACCCCC